TGTTGAAAGTAAATGCTGAAATGACGGTATAACTGTACCTCTGACCGCGTGGCGGCAATGAGTCCAATAACGCATGAATATCATTAAGGTTGGCTCCCGCAAGTGGCGAAAAAAGTGTTTGGTTAATATAAATAGACGAATCAACTTTTTGTAGACAGAGATGTGTGCTCACTGGCTCTGACTCACCCACGTGTACGGCTCGGTTTGAATAGTTTTCTACTGTTGAAAGATGTGTAGTAGCTCACCGGGACCGTTCTTACACAGGTAAGTAAGGTAAGTAAAAGGTAAGTTGAACGTGGGTTGGCTTGCTGGTGAGTTCATATTTTTTTTTTTTTTTTTTTGCAATGTTATTAAATATTTATACGTTATTACAAAAAAAATGTCAATTACGAAGAACTTCGCAAAGTCCGTAACTAGTAGCGTTAAAAAATTTCATGTTCTTGTTATGAACCAATGTGAGTTGGTGATGGTTGTTTAGTTGCATATTTATACCTACGTGCAGGGTTCAAGGACACGGACACAAAAACTAGCTCAGGTTACACATGTATAAAGTAATTTACGGTAATTACAACAATTTGTCGTATGCAACGTTAATATACAAATAAATTACGAGTAAATTCATTCTGCACTTGCAGACTTGGTGATTGTGAGAAAATTGAATGTCAATTTTTTAAATAATTATCGAACGACCTCATTATGTCCTTGCTGAGTGATTGCAATTTCTTTGCTACAATGTGTATGTGTATACCCACTTCAAATTCAACTTATTAAATTCACCTGATGTCTCGAAGTAGAAACTCGAGAGACCATAAATCAATTTAATTGTTTGGGCTCATCAAAGACGATATCACAATTAAAATAAACAAATACCAATTGAAGAAAAATTTTTTTCTAATAGTTTAAGATCAATTAAACAATCTTAAAAGTAAAAATAAGGTTGATCATCACTGTAAAAATACATGGGACCTGTTGTATTCGATTTGCTTGAAGTTACAAAAATATTGTGTATTAGAAATACAATTTTGTTTACGTCCGATTGTATTCAATAAATTGACACGTTAACACGAAAATACTATCATTTGTACCTATCGAAAGTTTTATCAATTATACTCACAATGTTGGTATTTAGTTTTTCTGCAACTTAAAGAGTTAGGTGTTAACTAAGAATTAATTTTATCATCAGTTTTGATTTTTTTATGTAATCTCAATTGACAAATAGCTCTCAAGCATATTTTTTTGACACTTTTCCTCGTACGTATGATTTAATTGATGGAAGATTAAATTGATTGTGGGCATTCACAACATCCTTAATTTTGTTGTAAAATTCCCAAGGCTGTCGTAAAAACAAAAACAGGGACTTCACTCGATATTTCACATCTATCGATTACTTAAGAGTAAAATACAATCATAAAAGCGCCTGTGTTAGTACTGTATTTTATGCTTTGAAAAGTTATGAATATTCAGCTATTGTTTTAAAAAAACGCATTTGTTTTTCTTTCAAATGAGCGTGGGACATTTATGCGATTGTTAAAACTTAGCATTTGGCACTGAAAGAAGGAGTAAATTACCGGTCAATTTCACGCAGATCTTTAATAATTTTTTTTTCAATTATTTTGGTGATACTTGATTTGCATTTTGATGACGTTTTTGTTTGAGTTGAGCAGACAAATTTCTCATATTTCAATAGCTTACTAACTACGCTCTTAAATTACTAGATTCTTTCAAAGGTTTTCTTATTTGTAAAACATCGTTACTTTGCAAATTTATGTAAATTGTAATTTCAATGGAATGTCATTTATTTCCATGCACAATAAAATTTATTTGAATATATAATTATAGTTCGAAAAAAAAATTTTTTTTTCATTGCTGTTTGTTACAAATTTAATCAAAATTAAAATATGTTATTGAATATAAATAAAAATGTACGCAATTTTTAAAGTTATTTTTTGTAGATATTTATTTTAAAAAACTTGTTTTTATTCGGTTGTACAATGATATTTGGTTGAAAAATCGATGAAATTTTCTATATATATTTTTACAGTTGGTATTTTCTCCAGCCTCATCAAGTTTTTAACATCAATGTGATGATTGTGTTTCTATTTTGAGGTTTAACAAAGTTATGTATTTCGATATATTTACACTCTGTATAAAAATCTTAAAAACCTCAAATCAAGTAAAAATCAATGATGTGATTTTGCAATAGCAAATTTATTTACACTGTACTTATAATTGATGTGCGTGATGTATATTATTATGTAACTTAGATACTTATGAACAAAAAATACTGCGTTTATATTAATCAAATTCAAAATGATTTCGGCATGTATTAACAAAAATTAATATTTTATAAAGCGTATTATATACACTGTATGTTTGCAAGACATTTTTAAACGTATGTACAAACACTTTTTTACATGTTAGCAAAAAAAAAAAAAAAATCATTCATAAGTATACATTAAACTGTATGAATAGCGTAATATAAAAATAAAATGTAATGACTGATTGTTTTCCTTGTGATATAAATGTTAAGAATTCTAAACTATCGTATTAAAATGTATACTTAATTATTTGAAAAAATTCAGAAATAAATTGTGTAAATAAAACAGCTATAGTTTTTCCAGCTCAAAAAAGCTGAATACAAATTTTTTACAAAAATGCTTACAAACTATTTTCCAAAAAAACAAATTTCTGTGCTTACTCATTTAAAACATTTTTAACTACTCTGCAGTGTATCAACTGTCACACAGTGGAGCGCACATTTATCTTGACCAAAAGATCGAAAGTCAAAATGTACAGGAGGGCAGTTGACAGTTGAACAGCACTAGTAGGTATTAACATTCCACGATGTGAATTACAAAAATTCCCTACTAACACAGCATTAGTTTTACTTGGCTGCTTCTTTTTTGACTATTTTAGTTCTCCCATAAAACGCATCTAAAAACAGACCAAAGAATACCATGAACGCAGCAAACCACTGCCTGGGCAGTAAAGAGTTGCCAAAGTACATGATAGAAGCCACAACAGTGAAGCACTTTCTAGTGGTTGTCATAATAGAACAGGTGAGTGGACTGAATTCTGAGATGGTCAGAAAGATGAAGTACTGACCAAGTGCTCCACATATCGATAGGGTAAAGATGTGCTGGATAGCGGATGGATGTCGTTGTAGGAACTTGAGAAAGCTGAGGAACTCGCCAGTGACAAGAATCACTGCACCGCTGTACAATATCGACCAGAGATTCATGTTGAACATCATGTGTCCAGATTTGGTTTTGTGCTCTGTTTGCATCTTATTCTGGACTGCGCTTATGAGGCTGTCCATTGTCAAAGAGAGTAGCAGCAGAACCTGTCCAAAACCTTCTCCTTCAATTTTATTGGTAGCAGCATTTTCTTTGTACATAAACAAAACCACACCGGTGACAATCAAAGTGATGAAACAGTACTTTTTGAATGGATACGTCTGAAATGAAACATAATTTAAAATAAGAATATTACGTGATTTTCAGGTATTTCAAGTTTGTTGTACTTTCATGTTTATTTCAAAGTTTCTGACTTTGACGAGATATATCTTCTTTTCTCCTAACTGACATTACCAATTTAATTATGGCTTGAAGAAAATAATACCAATCAATGATCAGTAAAACTCACCTTTCCACCTAGAAGCACTCCAAAGATCATGACTGGAATAGGCTTGCCAGCCTTGCCAACGACCTGGGTGGGATAATTAATGAACTGCAGAGCCATATTACTGCACACCATCGCCAAGAGGTACATAAGCGCAGAGCAGGCATAGTAGACAACCCTGGTGGTATCCTCACCTTGTTTCATCACAGTGACGAGCAGTCCCTTGGCAAAAAGGCAGTTGACGACGCATTGCACGAAAACCAGTCCAAACATGTAAGTAAACTTTTCAATGCTGTCGCCATCGACGTACTTGCCCCGGGTAATCTTCTCCTGGAGTATGGCATAGTACGAGTAGCAAACGAAGATCCCCAAAGCACAGAAAACCAGCTTTGCGGCACTCGGATGGTGCTGCGGCTGTGTCATCTCGTCGTCACTATTTATCTTGACCCGGAGCAAGCGACAGTTGAAATAACAAAGGTCGAGAAATTCACGGAAAAATACGTCGTCGGCATAAGTTTTAATCAAACAGCTATCATTGGCAACGAAATCTGTGTTTCACGAAACCGCGGGCAGTTTTTGGTGCGTGTACCAAGTGTATGTTTACACGAAGCTGTCGGCTTCCACGTTGCCAGCTGTGAATGGTCAACGTCACGCATGCATTTTAATTTACATCTAGCGCCATCTAGCAGTATTCATTTTCTCAACTTTTTCTGAAAATACAAAAAGGTCTCTTTCGCGCATGCGCAACGAATATCAAAATTTTTTCCTACCAGTCGATGAGGAAGGATTCGTGTATTATCAGCATCGTTACAGTAGGAATTCGAACGCGTCGATATAGTAGGGAGTTGTGTCTATTGGGATTTGTCGCGCGCGTGCAATAAGCAATAACTGTAATAAGGAATACCGCTAGATGGCGCTGATCTACTTTTTTTTCATTTTAATGCAATATTACAGTTATAGGTATACCTACTCGGCGAGCGAGAGAGAAAGAAAGAGATCGTTGTTGGTCCAAGAAGGTGTGTCCAATCGCGTTTAGTGGTACATATCTACTGACTGATCGGAGGATGGTTAGATGATTGTTTATTTTCTAGATAAAGGTGAGGAAATAACGAAGTTTAATATTTTGTCGAATCATTATTAATGGATTTGTACATGCTTGGAGTTACGTGGAAGTTATGTGGTTACTCTGGTGCCTTAAACAGGTGTAGCAGTTGTGGGTGTTGCCTGTTGTATGACACACATTTTAAGTGTATATATTTGATGAAAACTGAACTATTTCATTTTTTCAATACTTGATTGTTTATTTCCGGATGTCATTCTCGATTACTTCGTTTTCTCTACATTGCCCTAGGTTTTTGTGCTCTACGTGGTTCTTTTATTTTGGTTACAATTTAAGTAGTTGGATCATAGTCCTTGAGTTAATGCATAACCAAACGTCATTTTCACAGATTTCCAGACACAAACATGAATTATGGAAAAAAATCACCCAGCATGGGTACACCTTCGTTGTACTCTCACGTTACCAATCGCAGTAGTGCGAATCTCAGATCTTCCAGATCTGTTAAGAGTGTGAAGATACCATGGTACCAAAAGAGATTACTAACAAATGCCCTCGTTCTTGATATACAGAGGGGTGCAATGGTTACCGGAATTTACTCATTGGTATGTACAAAACACCGATAAAACATTCGCATCGAAATGGCCTGTGAAAATTAATTGAAAATATTTTTAGTTACTGGCACTTTTTACCATAGTTACTGCGATTTTTGACATCTACTGTCTGTCACTAGCAGCTCCAGGATCAGTACATTATGGCTATTATTGGATATCTTATGACTTTGTGTATGTAGGAAACACGCATGGTAAGTACGAGCAAAAACATTCTTGTAATGTAGCAACTCAATACACGAAGACAATCATCTGATACTTTTAACTAACCAATTTTATTTTCAGTGAGAAACATACTTGTTATGTTTGCATTGTTCTCGATGCTTGGAGGATTTATAATATTTGTTACGAGCATTCTATTGATTGCAGCTTTGAGGAAAGAATATGAGAAAAAAATGGTCCCTTGGCTTTATAGCTTTGCCATATTTAGTATTTTCCGCTTTTTGGCCATTTTATTTTTCAGCATTGTGAATGACTTATACTTTGGCTACAACGTGACCATGACCTTCCTTTGGATTCTTTTCTCTGCAGTGTCTGTCTATGGCTGGATGATTGTTTACTCGTTGTATATTGAACTGTGCGATTTGACAAAGCTAGAAGATCTTGCACATTTGAGAGTAAGTATTCATTTTCAAGTATCCCTTATTAATTTCTAACTTACTTCCTCACACATTAATACTTTTGACATTTTTTTCTGTAGATTGGAACTTTGCAATCTTTGAATGCCTCAACAACCCACTCGATCGCAGGCTCACGGCCCACAACTCCGCACAGCACAGTGTCAACAATGCCAGTCAACTAAAACTAACGATCTGCACCTGTTTTCATCATTTGTTGTACTGGCAAAAGAAAAAATCAACGTCTATTGGATATCGAATACATTGAATAATTTCGTACAAGCACATCATTGTGTTAGTAACACGATCTTTACTGTTACATTTATTTTGTATTGGTACAAAGACAGATACTTTTAAACAAAATTGCACAGTATCTAAATGAATCGCACAGCAGTCATCGTCATTGTAATCAACAGTTTGCTTGACAGCTGCTTGAAATTGCTCAACTCTCCATATAAATTTTAATTTTAAGACTGGTAAATTTATTACCAATAGTGCCTCAATGAACACTGTTGCAGGATTTGCGTTGATGAAACGAATTCCGTCCAATGAAATCTTTAGATCAAGTAGCTTATTATCTTACACTAAGAGAACGATATAATTAAAATTCTCGTGAAAACTTAAAAATTAAATTTTGATATGTGATTTGATAGATTTTTTAATTTTATTGTCGGCACGAGACTGCAATCTAATACTTTCGTCCGAGACTGTACAACAGCAAAAAAGCTTAACAAAGTTTTGAGTAAAGAGACGGCAAAGTCGTCTACATTGATTCAAATTTAAATATATCGCTTGAAATAGTATGCTATTTATCCTAGTTATTTACTAATTATAATTTTTTAGTATTTTTTATATACGAAAAAAAAAAAATTGAGCGAAGTATTTGAAATTTCAAGTACATGCTTAGCAAAGATTTTTCCAGGAATCTCATTTTTAATGTACTTTTACCGCAATCGCTTCGATAAATTTGGTGTGAATAATCATGCAAACATGTTCCGTCCAATGTATGTGAGATATTAATACCGCATTTTTATTAAATTATATAACCCAAATGTCCATTTTAAACAAGATGTTGTAAATTTTCGTCTCCCGCTTATTTACAGAGTAAATAAAAGACTTTTACCGAAACGATTAAAAACGTACAATTTTTTTTCAAGACCAAAGTTTTCAAAATTATTACACTCTTACTATGATCAACGTGGTACTCTATATTTATTAGGGATGAAGCGACACAAAAAGTACAGAGACTCGTTAAATTGTCAAGGTATACAACAACGTACAATCACCTACTGAGCAGAGGCCTGATTTGTCTGGAGCGACTCTGACCGTTGCTCGATACTTTCACTACCTCGAGACTCTTGTTCCGTGCTTTGATTGGACAGTGAATTTCTCGATCGCACCGTCTCCAGTGAAGATCGTGCCATGGCGTCGAAATCGGCGTCAAAGTCATACGGCTCGGGATACATGGTAACAAATGGCACGACGGCCGATGTGTCCTCCAATTGGTTAACGGGATGCGCGACTGTGTAGACCGAAGCACAAACGAATAGTATCATCCGGCCCAATAGGGTCAGTAAAAAGATACCGAGGGCCATGACGATCTGCCAGACGATGCTCAGCGTCCCCGTTACCATGTACATGGCTATTGCCAAACACATTTGGGTACTATTGTTGTTTTTTGCCAATTACGAAGAAAAAAGAAATTGATGTCAAGGTTAATATTTAATTCTGTCTATCGATTGTTTGAATTATTTTAAACTTTTAAAGGTGGGGGCGTTAAATACCCAGGCCATACTTTTTCACAGAAGTTCTTTTTCGGGACATTAAATAATTATAACAAAAGCACATCAATTAAAATATTGTGCTTTTTTGATGTATATTTGTTACCCGATGCAGGGATATTAACAAATTGTTAATGAAAATCGACAAGGTTCATATAAACGTAGCGTATCATTTAACATAATATCAACGAATTATCTTAAACGTAATAAATTGACTAACTGGAAGAGTGTCTGGTTGGTGGTATTTTTCCAGTCTCTGTTTATTTTTCAAGAAGGGAAATTTGAAAAAAAAATACGGAAAAAATTAAAATTGACCTGCTTAAAAAAAAGAGCAACATCGCATTGGCGATATATTTTTGAACATAACTAATATTTTTTACGTTACGTATTTTGTCATTAGATACCATATGTTTATTCTGCACCAGTCGTAAAATTTAACTACTTTTTTTTTTAAGGAGCAAATAATAAGGAATGGTAAAGGCTACAGAAACATGAACAAGTATTCTTTTATAATTATATATATATATATTTTTTTTTTCGTATTCAAAATATAATAATAAACATTACACATGATGCTGGATCTTCGTAATATCGCGACAGTCTGCGAAAAAAATAACCGTCTCGAGTGGTACCGTGTGTTGTAATATTTTCATCGATCGAGCGCGCACAACTGGGCCAACGTCCAGAAGAAGCAGATCGCTATTATTTCGAGATTTTATTTATTTATTTATTTTTTTTTATTTACCGTAAGAAAATGTGCCGTAAAATTGGCAATACTTTCTTTTCATTCAAGTGGTCGAAAAACTTTCTCTCAGCTTACAAAGTTATCGTTGTGTATGAAAAACAAAGAAAAAAAATGGAGAAAAATACTTATCTGCTCGTCACTAGACATTAGCGAACTTTATTTGTTTCAGTGACGCTCGTTCCATTTTTTTTTTTTTTTTTTTTTCGTTGCGACACAGTAACTAATGATGCATAGCCCTTTAGTTAGGTAGAAATAGATCGATAGGTAGACAAGCAAAAGGCTCATGCACTCGTAAATCTCTTTGTGTTTTTTTTTTTTTTGTTTCGTTTATTATACATAAAATGTGTATTCATACCGTTCGCAATCACATACACTTTTCACATTTCTTTCGCACTTACATTTGCTTACTCCTTCAAAAATGTATTAATTTTCTTTTTTTTTTTTCTTTTTTTTTCGTTTAATTAAAGCTCCCAAGAAATTTGTTACACTCGAATGGGAAAATTTGATTTATATTACAGTGGCAAGAAAAAACAACACTCAAAACGCCTTGACTCTTATACCTTACGTTATTAATTATTAATATTATTCATCACAGTGATAAACGAAAAATATATATGCATGTATGTATTTTATGTATATATATATAAACAGCTGCTTGAAATTGCTCAACTCTCCATATAAATNATTTTTTTTTTTTATGCAATCGTTACGATAGAATAGAAATAGCCTTTTTACAAATCTCGTACAGTTTTTCCGACACACGTCCTGATATTCTATAGAAAGAGAAACTGTGGTTGGTACATATTTGCAAAAAAAGTTGTCTGCACTTACTATCTCAGTGTGATATTTTTTTAATACAAAATTTGTATAAGAAAGTAAATGCTGGAAAATTTGGGTAATAAAGTCAGTAGTCTCCGATACGGAGAAAGCGTTATACGCTTCCGTATATGTATTGATCTCGTGTATATAAGTTTTAGCTTTTATCTTTCACTTTTCATTAAATATCTAAGTTTTTTTATCTATGTACACTTATAAATAATTTCGTTGCCACCGACACCTAAAGTCCGTGCTATTCGTGTGTATTTTGTTTTTTGTTTTTGTATTTTTTTTTTATTCATTTTTTTTTTTTACTTTAGCTGCAATCGTTAACAAAAAGCATTAAATTTTAATCGTAAAGATCCCTGACGTGAAATGTAAAGCTATCAAGTGATCATCGCTTTGCAAATTGATCTATGATACAAAAGATAATTGTAACAAATTTACAATGTGGAGAAAATCGGAGTACAATGCGCTTGTATAGTATTTACATTGTACAAAAGGTTTTCAGCTGATACATTGATTAAAAAACGGTTAGTCGTATTTCTGGCAAAATAGGTTTTCTTTGTGAATTCGTTGAAAAATATGTTTGACAAATTCTTCAATAGTGCAGTTGTAATATTCTCAAGTTTTTCAATTTGCACGTCAGCCTTACTATATTAATAATGCTTTACACACACACCAAAATACCAATTCGTAAGCCAATAAATTATCGAGTAATAAACAAACGAAAAAAAAAAAAAAAGAACTAACATTTTTATCAATAAATAATCTAATTATTGACTCCCAATATTAATAACAAAAACATTGTGATTTTTTCAATAAATCAAAAAATAATAATAAGCAATAGGACATTAAAGAAATATGTGTAACTTAAAAGACTCTAATATAAGTACGCAATTTCGTAGATAATCTTTCAAAGCATCATATATTATCCTATCGTATTTCTCTTTCTCGCGGCTTTATGCACTTCTTATTCGAAAAAAAAAAACAGTCTTAATATTTACACGATGATATTTATACAATATTTAAACTTTTGTACATGTACGTTATGTGCACACAGTCACAGAGTAAAAACAAACAATCGAAATTTTCTCTCATCAAATCTTTTAGTGCCTTGTTATGATTTGTTTTATTTTTGTTTTGTATACTACGTCGCTGTTCAATATTACATGCGAAAAATGCTGTTATATACCCTGATTTTATGTACAGACCGTTGCACACTATGTATTCTTCTTCGCTCACTATCTCACACTCAAATGATCAAGTTTGTAAACTGCTGTCCGAAATTATTTAATCATCAGAGTCGAACCAACTATTTCTCAAACAGCTCGAAAAGTTGTCCAAATCCTTTTTTCGTTCATTTGACATAGAAACACGATTTAAAGTAACGGGGGGGGGATTAGCCGCTTGAGAAACAGTCGCGCAAAGGCACACAACGCCGTTACCTCTTAATCACCCTTGATAACCATCTCCGATAGAATCAAGTTGGATTTTCAATGTTTTTTTTTTTTTTTTTTTCTATTTTGCTTCTAGTTTAGCAGTGCCTTCTACCAGAGGCGAGGGAAAAGTTCGTTGCTTGAAGTTCGTGAGCGCACAAAGTAAACTTTCGCCCTGCAAAAAGTGTGTCCAACAACAGAGGCTCAAAAACACACAGCAAAACAAAGAAGAGACGAGAGGAGGCGGAGGAGAGAGCGAAAGTTGAAAAAAAACTCCTCTCTTCCTCTTTACCCATAGATACCCACACACTCTACTATCGGACAGCAGTCGCCAAACGGCGAAAAACGCGCTTCTTCTTTTTTTTTTTTTTTTTTTTTTTTTTTTTTTTTTTTTTTTTTTTTTTTAAATTTATACACATCAATAATAACATTCATATACATATGTAATCTTCAACTTTGCGTTCGCGCTTGAAAACAAAGTGGGCGAGCGCGGGGGGGCTTGGGGGTACGAGGTGTACGCACATCATCTCGACAATACGCTGCACAGCAGTGTCAGGCCGATCGACAGGACAAGCGAGACCCTCGTCGGGGACGACGACGAGGCCGAGCTCGAAGCTGCCCGCATCACTTCCTCGCAAACACCTGCAACCAGAGGACATAATCATAAGCGCGAGTTAAGAAAGGACAACGGCGATTCAAAGAAAAGGGAATGGAAAAGCTCACCCTGGTTGGCGAGTTTGTAGGTCCACTGGTCCGTCGCGCCGCGTTGGCAGAAGCTCCTCGGCCTCGACAGCCAAAGCTCCTGCTGCTCGACCCTGCCCACCTTGCCCGGAAGTTCTTTGGTACTCTCGGTCAGGCGCATCGAGACGCACAGCGTCTCCCGCTCGCTGTTTGTCTTGTTGCGCGACACTATCGTGTACGAGGTGCCGTTCTCCTCCCAGCTCCCGTGGCACGAGTACGCTGAAACTAAAATAATCCTTGTCACTGTCGGCACTTTTTTGTCGGCATTCGCGAACGATACGTGTTTAATTCTGTTTTTTTTTTTTTTTTTTTTTTTCAAGTGCAAGAGTCTACTCTGAAGTGGTGTCTCGAATTAACCTCTTGGCAATGGCGAAGCGCTGCGTAATTTCTCAACTCACCCATCTCGTTGGTTTTGCACGACTCCTGGATGATCATTTCGTTCTGGCCGCTGGACGTGCAGCCGATCTGCACATCGGCGTTCTGGCAGTCGTCGGAGTCAACGTTGCCGGTCGCCTCGTTGCTTTCCTTCCAGCTGCTCTGAGCCAGCGCCCGGGCGAATCGCCGATGGCGCCGTGCCATTTTCAACTGCGGCGACGACACCAGGTCCAGCACTGTGTACCGGCCCGGCTGGGGACACGAGCGCTTGTGCAACGTCGAAGCTACGAACGAGGATCGATTCAGTTGGTACTGCTCTTGCAATGATTGAAATATTGGAAATTATGGAGGAATGACTCACTTATCAGCGTCGAGAAGGGACGCTTCGAGGGGTCCTCGAGCAGACACGCTTCGTGGGGCATGATCGTCTTGTGACCTGTCGAATCGTCAACACAAACGTATCATCATCATCATCATCGGGTACACATCTTACGTATAATATACATCGCTGTGTATAAGGTATATACTCACTCGACTGCTGGACCTCGATGACGTGGCCGTCGCGTTTGTAAAATATCATGCACACGTATCCCGTGTCGCTGTGGAGAAAAACAACGACGAACCAAATTAATCTCTCGTCCATTCACATCGCGATACATTCAAGTATAGTCGCCGATTTTCTCTTATTTCCTCATTAAGTATATGGCACACGGAGTAAGTCTTTCTCTTGGAGATGTTTTTTTTTTTTTTTTTTTTTTCCCTTCTTTCATGAAACTTTGCATCGAAACGGACGAAAGAATGCAAGAGGGAGAAATAAAGGAGCCGAGAGAGCGAGAGATTCTTTGAATATCAAAGGAGAGTGCACGGTGTTCGCGCGAGTCTTTAAGACTTCCTTATTTCGATTTAAACTTGGCGCGGAGAGGCCGAGCGTTTTAATGAAAAAACTTTTTTCTACCCCCCCATCCGGGCCCTTACACGTATATACACACCACGTACACCTTTTTATCCCTCGAATGAGGTTTCAAATAAACATGGGCTTCGTTTCGAATAACGGCACTCTTCGTTTATATATGCTCGTTGGTACTATCAATCGAAGAATATAATATATATATATATATATCTCACCATCCGCTGGTCACGTGAGCCACGAGCTTGACCTTTGTCTCGTCGCTCGGGTGCATCTTCTCGAGGTTGTGGCAGACGACTTTTTCCTCGCGATTGTCGTCCTTGAAGGTGACCTTGAGCGTCGAGTTGCCCGTCGTGAAGTGATAGTTCCTCGAGCCGTCCAAAAAGTGCCAGTCGTGGTGCTGCGTCACCCAAGACGGATACTTGCACCTCACGTGCTCCTTTTCCTCTGTTTTTTTTTTTTTTCGGAAAGGAGGGAGAGTATAAATTTGTGACAATTATACATCATGGGTATACACACTTGTTGCGCGCATGTACCAACCTTTTGTGAAATTGAAGGTCGGGGCGCCCTCCGTGACGGAGGTGAGGCCATTGCAGCTCGGATCCCCCGACTGGGAGATGAGGTAGCCGATTTTCTTGTCCCGGTGGATTTTCTCGTAGAGGAAGCATCTGGAAAAACACGCGCTCTACATCTTAGTTTCGCTGCGCATAATTTATACAAGAGTACGGCATTGATGAGAAAAAACGCGGATGTTGGTTTTACCCCCCTCCCCCCCCCTTATACAGAGTAGGGCCCATTGGTGGGTGTTTACAGCCAAACAAAAGCGTCTGCCACGGAGAGCTTGTTTCTCTGATTGATTTATTTATCGTCAATTGCAATGCGCTGCGGGCAGCTTGTCGGGTTTCTATGTGCTCCCTCTCTCTCAATTACCTATACTCATCGGCTTAACTACATACAGGGCCTCTCTGCTTCTAAGTTGGACGGCCCAGGGGGTATGTGTACACTCGTACGTATGGGCTGAGCCAAGTTGTTAATTGAAAAAGTGGTTTTTTTTTTTGTTTTTGTTTTTTTTTTTCACCAAATGGAATAAACATTATCGAATAAAAACTAGAGAGCAATTCCTTTTCCAGATGGAAATAACAAGTCTACAAACATTTGCCCGAAACACGGCTCTGCAATGTAATTAATAGTCATCTCTGGTATGCGCATCGCCGAAAGCATGAAAGGTCGCATGGGAAATCGTGCGACTATGCGCCGACAATTGGTTAATCGTGCGAACTGCATGAAAACGACGACGGGCGGCTAATTACAGCCGAGAGAAAAGGATCGGGTGTATAAGTATACATGTACACTACTGTGACGGGTGGCTCGTTGTACAGACAGCTCGAGCGCGTGCACGTGCGGCTCTCCTTCAAATTTAATTAACTGAAATTGAGGCACTCCGTGGGACGAGACGAGAATCAACCAAAGAGTCCGAACGAGGATACAGTACGGTCTTTGGGCTGCTCTTGATGATGGTTTTCATTCGGGATCGGTAAGCAGCCGATCCCTCCGGAAGCTCGCACTTGATCATTCCCCGGGCAGTCTTTTTTCCGCGCGTCAATTCATCCCGCTAATAAACTTGCACAAGTGAACGAGAGCGTTGGTTTTACGGTATGTATAATGTACCTTCGGGGGTAACGATCGCATTTACGGGATTAATCACGCGGGTGTACTTGTCTACATACACGTATAAAAGGGCGAGCTCGACTCCGCGCGGACCATAATGGGAGCTCTGAATAATTTGGATTGATCGGCCGTCCGGTCTCTCTTTGAGGGATGACGTTGAGCGCAGTGATCGATCTGCCGGTTCCTAAAGCCCTCCGTGAAATGTACTCGAGACCGGCCGATCACACGCCGACGCATGCATTGTATATTTTCACAAAAGCTTTTTTTTTTTTTTTTTTTTTCATTGTCGCTGTGAATGAGTTTTCGGGATGGATGAAAATCGAGAACGCGAGGTAATTACCCGCATGCAGCCAGAGAGTGATGGTCTCTACACGATGTTCCTTGCACTCGCGATTGAAAATCGACCCACGAAAATTCACGCACGCGTGGGTGTATACAGATTTTCCACCTGGACAAGAGTATAAATCGTCATACCCAACAACTCTGATGTGTATTTTCGTGGGTCCAAAAAGAGATGAGCCGCGTATATAACGGCAATCACCGCCGCATCCATCACTTATACGTATATATCGTCTTAGCTGCTCGGTTTTACGGCCCGTGAGATCTTTGAAGGGGCCGCTGTAGACAAAAATGTATCGTGGAGCGACGTGCAGGCAAGCCCGAGACGAAAACAGCCCAATTTCCAACTGAAAGACCGAGCCTGAACCGTACCATCGGAGTACGCCTTATATAATATACAGGCTGGCTTCCTTGTACCTATACTAGGTATATATATACTTATACTCCACCAGAGCTAGCCCCAACTAATTGCAGCAATCAAGATGCACACGCTGTATATATAGGAAAAAGCGCGGGGCCGTCGGTCCTATGAACAATGTGATGTTGCGTTGTATATATTATACCTGAAGGTCTCCTCTTCGCTGCCGGCCACCTTCAAAGTCCCGAGCAGGTACATGTTGCGCCCGTCCTTCCACACGGCCAGGCACTGCAGCTCCTCGGCTGGAATGAAAAAGAGAAGCGTCATCGTTAGTGCGTACATGTATTGTACCAAGTGTGAGCTAATAAATAACATATAACGGAGGTGTATGCACAATAGCAGCCGTGAGAACAAAAAACTAGTATACATAATATATGTATGCTCTCGACGGCTGTAGCATTGGTACATGGGTCACAGATCAGTTTGACGGAGTACAGCTGAGAATTCGTCGGATCAAAAGGGCGAGAATACAACGTAGCTATGATAATTTACGTATAGCGCATGCCCGTGCCAATTAACGGGATTTAAACGCTATCGCGCCGCGAGGCCCTCGTTAAAAATGCTCCGACTCGTTTTGTGTTTCCTCACCCTTTCCTACATGTGTATATTATCATGGCACGTTCCGTACATATATACAATATTATAATGTGTGTGGATTAGCTCGAGTTGCGTTACTTAGGTATTGGGATTCCAAAAGGTAACGTGACTCTCGCGATATATATAGTGACTTGGGGGACAAATAATACAGGCCTTATGGGTGCAATTATATTTTTTTCTTTTTTTACACGTTCAACGATTGTAATAAGATAAAATAACATGCCTTCCAATAACATATTTTTGAGGAGATGACAATACCTTAGCTATTTTTTCCCAACTCAATTAGTCTTTTGCAGCTTAAAACTTTCCTTTAAAAAAGCGAAAATACACATTTAACCTGTACAAAGTTCTCCCGTTCCCGACTATACATAGGAAAACAAGCGGGATTTTGGTAAGGTTAAATGTGCGTTTTCGCACTCGTAAAGGAAAGTTTTAAGCTGCAAAAGACTAATTCAGTTGGGAAAAAATAGTTAATGTATTGTGATCTCGCGGTGGCTCGGTCGGCTAGGTCGTGGATTGGCACGCGGGAGACCGTGGTTCAATTCCCGGCCATAGTGCGACTTTTTCGGGCAAGTACCTCTGTGATTGTTCACATGTGCTTTTTCTCCAGGCAATTGCTCCTCGAGGAGGGTTTGGGCGACCTTCTCGCAGCAAAAATTGCCTAATTCCCCCTACCCCCCTCCCAGTAATGGGGGGCCTCCCATCCCTTTCCTTGTCCCTTTCCCAAAGTGCTAAGTGCCCATAGTAGTGCCCTTATTAAAAAGGAGCTGGACGTAGAGCACTATAATATAAAAAAAAAAAAAAAAAGTTAATGTATTGTCATCTCCTCAAAAATATGTTATTCGAAGGCTTTATCGTATTACAATCGTTGAACGTGTAAAAAGAATAAAAATATAATTGCACCTACAAGCCCTGTGTTATTTTTCCCCCAAGTGACTATATATATCGCGAGAGTCACGTGACCTTTTGGAATCCCAATATAACTAGAAGAGAGAGAGAGAGCTTTCAATCGCATTATTTTCAGTAACGGAACCGAGGAAAATCCGCCGGATGGGTTCCTTCCTTTCTTTTTGTCTCGGTCTGTACAAGAGGGGGCCGACCTGCCAAGGGAAATCTTAATCGAATTAGGTGTGCTTTGATAATCCAGTTAGGGCGACTTGAGAAGAACGAAAAAAAAAAAGAAACTAATTTTCTTTTTTTTTTTTTTTCATCACGTGTACGTACACATTTTATTAGGCTGGATACGGAAGCCCAACGAGTGACCCCACGGCGATTTTTCTTTTTTTTTTTTTTGTTTTTGCCCGTTTACTCTGTTCTTTCGGGATCTCCTTTTTTTTTCATTTTGTAATTCCAATCGCGATGATGCTCATCGCGTGTCTCCGTGTATTATTCTTTCGGCTCGAAAGCCCGAGCGGCGTTTCAATTAGCGGTTCCGCGCTATCTTTTCCCCCCTCCTGTTGTCCCGCGCACGCGAAACCCATGCACATCCGATTTCGTTGTTTCGATGGTGCGCTTTACCTTTCAACCATAAAACGCGAGAAAAATACATTCCTTTGTGCTCAATGGAGAACGGAGGTATATATATGTGTGTACTTTAATTTTTCACGAGAGGCAAAACGCACCGGAAACCGCTCTCTGAAAGGATACAAGAAGCTTGCAATGCCCTCAATTGTTATAATTCCTTTTCTCGCAAGATTTCTCCATTGAGTTCATAATATATATCCTCAAGAAAAACACAAAGATTTTTCATGCTCCTTTGTCGCGCCAGGATTAAATTTTAAAATACAAATCTGCCACCCGCTCGTTACGATTAATTAAAAAAACTTGTCCAAAAGTAAATACAACCCCTGTGTCGACTCCCCCCTCTCTTTTTTCTCTTTACTTGTAAAAAAAAAAAAAAAATGTTCATCTTAATTAAACACAAATGAGCAGGGAGATATAGAAACAACATCAGAAGCCGAGTACTTCAGGGGCACTCGTATATAATAGGAACAAGAAGCGTGCGCGAGCTAAAAGGGTCAGGGTCAACGGTATGCCGCCGCGCATCTCTTATATAGTGGTACCCACAGGTATAGGTATACATATACGTGTATATATAATATATATATGTTGTACTCACTGCTGCTCTCGGCTCCCTGTATGTCGGCGCAGGCCTGGTACTTGAGCAGGAGCTTGCTCTCGTCGGTGCAGCTCTCGACCTGGTTCTCTAGGGCCTTGCACTCGCCGTGGCCCCGATTGTAGCTGAAACTGAACGGTGGTCCGGCGAAGGGGCACGGGATCGGCTTCGAGTCCAGCCGGAACATCGAGTTCAAACTGTCGTCCGAGCGCAGCTCCTGGCAGGCAAAGTCGATCGACGTGTGGTGCGGGAAGCAAAAGGCTGATTTTTGCGCCAATCATTGGAAAAAAAAAAACAAAAACGACAAACAGTTTAGCCAATTTCATCCAAATGTGAGCATACTTTGACGCAGAGAACACGCTTTACAGTGTATACAATTGTGTATGTGATTCGTATCTCCTCCATGTACGGGGTACAAAGTAACATTTTCCTGCCGGAAACGAAAGGTAAAAAAAAAAAAAAAAAAACAATTCCAAGCCCGCGAGCGGAGTTTTAATTAAAACACAGACATTCCACCCCATCCCCATCTACTCCGAAATCCAGAGTAGGCATCAAAATATCTCCCGATCGGAGCAAACGAGGTAAAACTTTTTACCTTTTGACCGGACCTCTCGACCCACGTGCACCCGCACACGCGGTAGAAAAGACCCGAGGCTAACAGAAAAGTTGCTCTCAAATGAACATTGACGCTCCTAACGCGCCCCGAAAGCATCTCCTCTGCGCTGTCTGGTCGAGTAGACGCGTATTCGGGCTAGGGGGGGGGGGCATGTATGTGTGGGTGTACGGAGGGCGAGCATGCGATATTTATGCTCGAGGAGAGACGGGGAGTGGAGTAGCAAGAAAAGCCAGCCGGATCCACGATTGTCAGGGCGGAGGGGGGGGGGGGGGTGGAAGCTAAAGAGGGTGGGTCCCCCGGGGACATAGAGATAGAGAGATTATGCCGAAATGCATAAATTATCAAAGGAGTCTGAGTGTGCGCACAAGAGAGAGCTGATGTCCGTAATGGGGCGAGGAGGTCTTAGCGTCTCTGTTCCTCTTGACTAAGGGATGAGCGTTTTCGCGCAAAATGAGCGAGTTTCACGAGGTAGGGGACAAAAAGCAGCAGCTGAGCTGCAGACGGGCCGATCGTCAATTATTGATTAGAGAATTTGGGTCGGGGGGTGACGAAGCCCTCACCAACCTCTCGTTATCAATTTTTTTGGTTTCTACTATCGGCCACACGTGTGACGTTACTTTGTTCACGGGGGTATGAATAGCATCAATCATACACCCGCAACAGTAGCGTTCATATATACACAGTCGCGGGTATTAAAAAGTTTCGCGGCGGTACCGAAAAACAATTAACCTGAGTTTAGTAGGAGGGTAGAGGAAGGGGGAAAACCAGCCTCTGCTGCAGAGACCAGGACGCACTTTTCCCTTGATTAAGACAGAAGAGGAGGAGGAGGAGGAGGAGGATGGAACTTGTCGGCATCGGGAGGGAGAAACTAGACGCGCGCGCGGGGGTTGCGAAAACAAGGGAGGGCATTAAAGGAGAGGGGCCCAAGGGGGCGCGGGCGCTTTTGCATTTTTTTGTTATTTCGCGTGCGAGTAGGCAGCTTAAAACGTCGCGGAGAGTCGAATTCTAACAATGCGGACCGACGGCGCATTGTCTCCGTATTGGCTTGTGCTCTCCCCTTTGGAGTGACGCGCCATTATTTTGCGCTTCGAGTCTGACGGGCTGCCGCACGTTTTGGCGGACTACTTTTTCTCCATTTATTTATTATTTTTTTTTTTTGCTTTTTTTTCAAGAGTCAAAGGCATGTGTACCGGATGGAACAAAAGAAGGACGCGCGTTTGGGGTACGTGTGCATTACAGTTGCCCCAGGGGAGAGGTTTATAAATAAAAGCGAGAGACAACTCGTCGCGGTCGCGCTTTTTGGTTCTCTATACCTGTACGGGAAGCAAGTGATACATCGATGTCTTTATCGATGCGGGCTGTGAGTATTTAATCAATTTCGTTTCTCCCCCTACTTTTTTCCATTGGTATTTTGGTTTTTTATATGTTGTTCGAAGCTATTTTTTTTTCATATTTATATAACTTGGTCTACTTTAAATCTCAAATATGTGCAAATTACGTATCTTTTAAAACTTTGGATGACAGTCTTGGGACTCACAGTATTATTAGCACGTATAAGCTTTTATATCGTGAAAAGAGGAGGGCAAAATAGAGGTGTTTGGAAAAAGTATCGCAGTTTACGTCTAATCGAAAGGGCCTATGATTTATGGTGGCTCTTGGGTGCCCATACAAGTCGATACAGCACGGTATACTCTCGAGTATAANTGAGAAAAGTAAATAAAAAAGGAGCACACGAAGATTAAGTTAATGGCACTTTTGGCCAAACGACGTGTAGTTAAAATCCACGTACATGGCTTTTTTTTTTTTTTTTTTTTTTTCAGGAAAACTCGATCCAAAAGAGCAGAAAAGTACATCGGCCAAGTGGTATTAAGGTAGTAGCCGAGGAATCAAGGCTGCGCGAATAAAGTGGCCCATAAACAAGAAGGAGGAGAAGAAGAGAGGCATGATGAAGGAGGAGAAGGAGGATCGAGCGCAGAGACATTTTATCGAGAAAGTCCGATAGCAGGGGTATACCCGCTGGCGCACACACACACACACGTCGGATCGTGCGACGATTTATCGCGACGACACGGCGGTTTTCTAATCCAAAAAAAGGGAAAAAAGAGGAAAAGTGTGCAGCCGGGAAAGCAGAGGCGCAACAACCCTTCTCTCATGGCGCACGTATATACATACGTATATAGCGTTGCACGTATACGTGGATTAAAAATAGTACGGGAGAAAAGGAGTGTACATATATATATATATATGTGTATGGATGTACATGCAGGGAGGAGGGAGAAGAGTAGAGTTTCCGATTCGAGTAATTGGATCCGGCGCTAGTTCGCGTCAGGTTGTATCAGGGGAGAAGAGCCGAGCGATTCCTCCCTCGATACACTGTCGTCTTGACGTTGACTCTTCTATTTTTTTTTTTTTTTTTCCACGGTGAGCCCATTGCGATTTATTAAATTATTTGCAGCTGCCAGGAAATTGGGTCTTCCCGAGATTCCTTTACCCGCGCGCCGGGCGGAAAATAAAAAGAGGACTACTTTGGCCGGGTAATTAGAGCTTTTCCCTCCTTTTTCTCTTTCCTCCTCGAGACAGGGATTGCTTTTGTCTCTCTGTTCGCGCAGAGGAGAGTCGAAGCAGTTTTCGTCGTTTTTTTTTTTTTTTTTTTTTAGTCTTTATAATTTTTTTTCTCGCAAGATTTCTCCATTGAGTTCATAATATATATCCTCAAGAAAAACACAAAGATTTTTCATGCTCCTTTGTCGCGCCAGGATTAAATTNTCCCTCCTTTTTCTCTTTCCTCCTCGAGACAGGGATTGCTTTTGTCTCTCTGTTCGCGCAGAGGAGAGTCGAAGCAGTTTTCGTCGTTTTTTTTTTTTTTTTTTTTTAGTCAAAAACGTAAAGAACAATCTTAATTGCATCCCATCTGCGACGTGAAGGATTTGTTACATGGAAATAATGCCTAAGTAATGATGGTAACTTTGTCTTATAATTGCGAAATGTAATCCACGCCAACTCACCTGTACAGTTGATAAATTTTTCAACGGTGGTTTTGATTTATTTTTTACTTCGCGTACAAATCGTTCGTTCTATAATGTTTTTGTTCCGGTATTCAAATTTCTTTTTTTTTTTTTTTTTTTTGTGTAAACTTCACGTCATATTTCGTAAAATGTGATGGAAAAACATTATGCGTCAGCGACAGCCATAAATCGAGCCGACTGACAATCCCCGTCAACGTCGGGCCCCAGTTTGCATTAATCTCAGGCAGATAAATATTTCTTTTCCCCCTCCGCCAAACAAACGATTTCTCCATGGCACTATTTTCTATTATTATTTTTTCCCGGCTCTCCCAACATATTATTTCTCCCTTTTCCCCCCTTGCGACCCACTATTTTATTGAGTTTTAATGCATGACATTTCCTTACCCACATTCATTCTTTTTTTTTTTTGTTTTTGTTTGCTCTTCCCTCATCCATAAATCCTCTCTCTTTCTTTTTTCCTATTATTTTAAGCATCCAACGCGAATTTTACGAGTTTCGTGCACAATCATACGAGATACCGGGACAATCTCACCTCTCTCTCTCAACTTTTTCCGCGTACAATCGCTACACCCGTGCAGATACCGATCGATCCCAATCGTTTTTCCTCTCTTGGATCGATCAAGTTCATAGCGCGTGTTGCACGCATATACACACACTCCCAATAACCACCGCCGCGAAAAAACTCCCTCCAGAAGGGAAAAGCCAGCCTCCCGCCCGCGATCCTAATCTAAAGAGGCGCATCGTCCCCGGCAATTTTCATCCCTCCCCCTCTCGCGACGTCGTAACCGCTCGGCTTCGCCGATATACACACCGCGTGCGATCCGAAAGATGGACAGATAAGGGAGACCGGCAACATCTCCATGGGTACTCCCACTCCGGCGCAAGGGTTTGTCGTCCGCGGCAGAAGCACAGGCCGTGTGTAGCTGTTGTCGCTGCCTGGCTTCGTGTCCGCAGCTACGCGTATATATATATATATATATATACTTTCGCGGAGAGGAGGCGGGAGAGATAAAGGAGCCATGGCACCCGTTGCGAGAAAGACGCCCCCGGTTAGCTCGGGAAGAAAATAGGTAATTATCTCTCGCTCCGGTTGCGCCCGAGTGGGTAAAAATACATACGCATCTATACCGTGATGGCCGAAACTCATTGTCATTGGAAGTCGCGCGGACAATTTCCATCCTGATGGCTTGCTTTATGTTGTTTTTTTTTTTTTTTTTTTTTCCACGCAAACCAGTGCTTGATTGTTTATTAATTTGCACCGTGGCACATAGTGCTTTTCTCCTCTTTTCCAAGTAGATGGGGACTTACAAGTGCGCGCAGATTATCTCGGTTGTTGCCGAACGGGAGAAAAATTTGGCTCTTTACGGCTTCACCTGTCGCGGTGCTTTTGAGAGGGCGCGGGGAGTTGTGTTTTTTTTTTTTTTTCATTTGTAAAAGTAGGTTTAGAAGTCAGTTTGTTTGTTTATCGGAAATGCAGTCGAAAAAAGGAAAAGAAATTAAGTTATATGTAAAGACATTTTAGGAGTACCAGACTACCTTTTCAAATGAAATATTGGGTTTCGTTTCTTTTCGGCTTCATCTACTCTCACACGTACTTGTATGACCTTTTGTGGAAACCA